CGGCCGTTGCCGTCAACTCAGCAGGTAGTCGGATCCGGGTTTGACAATGAAAAAAATGCAATGTTCAACAACAACAAATTGTCGATCGAACGGTGCCCTGGTGCTGAGCTCGGGGCTGGCTTCGGCCGTTGTGGCCACCTCAGCAGGTACTCGGATACGGGGTGGACAATGAATACATAACAATGTTAACCAACAATAAATTGTCGCTCGAACGGTGCCCTGTTGCTGAGCTTGGGGCTGGCTTCGGTCGTTGCCGCCATCTCGGCAGGTAGTCGGATCCGGAGTGCAACGTTAAAATGCAATAAATTGTCGCTCGAACGGTGCCCTGTTGCTGAGCTCGGGGCTGGCCCCGGCCATCGCTGCCAAACAAGCAGGTTGTCGGATCCGGAGTGTCGCCACAACAATAGATAATAACTTCAAACGAGAACAAACTGTGGTGCGAACGGTGCCCTGCTGCTGAGGTGGAGCTGGCTTCGGCCACTGCTGCCAACTGCCATCGCCTTCCACTCAGTAAGTCATCGATTCCGGAGTAATAGCTGACAATTGCAATTGACCACAAACTGTCCCTCGAACGGTGCCCTGTTGCTGAGTTGGGGCTGGCTTCGGCCACTGCTGCCAACTCAGGAGGTAGTCGGATCCGGAGTGCAAATATTAGTCCATCGAACGGTGCCTTGTTTTGAGTTTGTGGCTGGTTTCTGCTATCGCGGCCATCTCAGTATAGGAGGTCGGATCAGGCGTGGACGTCGCTCGAACGGTGCCCTGTTACGGAGCCGGTGGTTGGCCCGGCCATCGCCGCCAACTCAGTAGGTAGTCGGATCCGGAGTGCACTCACACTGAGTGTGGAACAGTGTCAAACAACAGTAAGAATGTCGCTGGAACGGTGCCCCTGTTGCTTAGCCGGGGCCTGGCTTCGGTCTTTGCCGCCAACTCCGTAAGTAGTCGGATCCGGAGTGCAATCACCCCCAATATATAGTCTACTAATAAACATGTCACACAACAATAGATCAAAATATATTCGTGACGGTGCCCTGTTACTGAGCCGGTGGCTGGCACCGGACATCGCCGCCAACTCAGTAGGTTAGTCTGATCCGGAGTACAGAAATGAAACAAGAAAGATATGTGTCTCGAACGGTGCCCTGTCGCTGCATTTGCGGCTGGTCCTGGCCACCGGAGTGCAATCACAATTTAGATAGACACCATTGTTCAACCAACAGTACATTGCCGCTCGAACGGTCCCCTGATACTGAGCCGGCGGCCGGCCCCGGCCATCGCCGCCAACTCAGTAGGTTGTCGGATCTGGAGAGCCATCACGATAGTTAGAAAACAGTAACACAGACCAATATATTGTCGCTCGAACGGTGCCCTGGTACTGAGCCGGTGGATGGCTCTGTCCATCGCCGCCAACTGTAGGCTTGTCGGATCCGGATGCAATAGCAATAACATGGTGTCAAACAATTGTCATCTGTGGCTCGAACGGTGCCCTGTCGACCGCTGGCCCATGCACCGCTGCACAGGTAACAGGTGGTCGGATCCGGAGCGCAACGAACGTCGCTCGAACGGTGCCCTGCCACTGAGCCGGGGGCTGGTTTCAGCCATCGCCGAAAACTCAGTAGGTAGTCGGATCCGGAGTGCAACGAAATGAATACATACTTATCTGAGAAGAAAAAAAAACAGAACCGTCGCTCGAACGGTGCCCGGCTACTGAGCTCGGGGGCCGGCTTCGGCCACCACCGCCACCTCAGTAGCTGGTCGGATCCGGAGTGCCAATGCAAGTTGCTCGACTGCCGGTCGTCGAAAAACCTGACGCCATGCCTGCTGGAAACTCAGTAGGTTGAAGGGTCCGGAGTGCAATGATATTCGCTCGAACGGTGCCCTGTTACTGAGTTTGTGGCGAGCTTCGGCTGCCTCCGCCAACTCAGTAGGTCGTCGGATCAGGAGTGCCACAGCCGCTTGAGCTGTGTCCTGATACTGAGTTCGGGGTTGGCTTCGGTCGCCACCGCCAAATCAGTAGGTAAAATATCTATTCAGTATACATAAATCGAAAATTCAAACGCTCGAACGGTGCCCGGTCGCTGAGTTTGGGTATCGGCCCTCGCCGACGCTGCACAGTCAGCGGTAGTCGCAAAGTCCGCCAGTAGTCGGATCCGGAGTGTCAGAAAGAAAATAAAATTGGTTCTGACGAAAGCTGACGCCGCCATTGACACATGAAAACAAGCATACCAAATGTATATTCGCGGAAACGCGCTCGAACAGCAGTCAGTGCCCTGTTGCGATCGCTACGCTCATACAAGACGGTTGCGTCCGTATCGGTGACAGCAGCCAACGTACGTCACGAAAACGCTGCACTTTCGTTCCGACGCGTTGTAGATACGGACGCAGTTGCTTCAATCACACGGGGGAAATAACGGAGATTGCTTTCGTGTTGTATAGTGAAATTAAACGAGGCGTGCTAAGTAACTGTTGACCTAGAGAGAGTGTTGACCACTCCTCCTAACGCCGGAGTGATTGCCGGGTAAGCCCGTATTTGTGTCCAGTGACTAGAAAGTCTCGTTGATTGCTTGTATTAGATCCGCAGGACAAACGCAAGACAGACAGAGGAGAAAGAGAGTGCCCCACACAGGCTGAGCATGGGGGCACCGCAGACTCATAAGTTACTACAACAGGTACCACAGCGGGTCCCTTCATGTACGGAACACAGAACCGTTCCTCAGATCCGTCCTACATATGCACACACACGAACAGAAACATGCGACTCCTTACGGAAAAAAATGAGCACTAGTTCCATGCTAACCCGGCAACCATGAACAACAACATATTCGCCTGATTGAGAGCGTAGCATCTGATTGAGAGCGAGATTGCGCGATACGCTGTAGCCGGACTACCACTGAGAGGTGGAGCTTCCTGTGTAGCTTGAATTGAAGGGCTAGCCCGTAGCTTCAAGCCGCTACCCTGGTCATCCTGTGGGAGTCTCTCGTTGTGGAGCTACAGCGGGGAGCAGAAGCTACAGCAGAGCCCACCGCCCGACGCGATACCGCCCTGAAACAGTTTGAGCAGAAATAGCCAATCTGGGCAAATCTAGCAACTTGTCTAGCTCCTCGCTGCAGCATCCGATGACGATGACACGCATATGCTCGCGAAGCTGCTGATGAGACCTTCAATTTGCACCGCTTCTTGGAATAGCCCGTCCCCTACTTGCCAAGAAATGGCAAGAGGCGTCTGGACCCGAAATTTCAATTTTTTTGGCTCTCGCTCTCAATCAGATACTTCGCTCTCAATCAGGCGAATATGTTGTTGAACCTGTGTTCAGGGTCCCGGCCGTCAGTCAATGTCCTCACGAATCTGCTGTTTATCATGGTGGGAGGAAACCAGGGAACGTATGTTTCACAAGAAACGCTGTGTGGAGGGGAAAGGGGACCCGCCCCTCTGCAAGACTCTGATGCCGTTGGCCATTACTCGTGTATATTGTGGGGGGGCGAAAGAACTGGGTCGCGCCTCGTGTATCGGCCCGTTGCTGGTATTTCCGCATCGCGGTGTGGAAGACAGAGCCTCGCCACACCAGTCTAGCTTGGCGCCGACCACAGCGTTAGTTTCTCGAATGTCGAGTACACATTATCAGGGCCTAGGTTTTGGGGAACCAAAGCATCAACTGGTCGACCAGTATCTCCCGGTGTGACGTTTCCGAACGGCTGCAATCATCGATGCAACAGCTCCGCCACGCACGTTTTGTTGTTAGTGGTGTGTGTGTGCACATGCATGCATGTTCGTTTGTGCGAAAGAAACTTTACTTCGTCAGGTATCGATGATGGCGAACATGACTTTTCTAGTGTAGTGGCATTGGCAACCTAAATCGCTTCGGTCGCATGGTTGGAATCGATCTACTGTAGGTGAAGTTTACCCGGGAATGTCCGCATAAAATTTGGTCATGTATCGAACGATGCATAGCGGCGAGAGCGCAGAGTCAAGTTCGAACTACATGCCCTCTCCCGTCCCCCAACACGGTTAGGATGGTAGGAGTACCTGTGTTTCTCACCACGGTTGGCGTAGTATGCAGCAACACCGGGAATTCTCCTTGTTTGAACCTTCGAGAATTTACGTCATTCATAACGCGTCTTCCAAATGGACCCATGGCGCGGGCGGCGACAATTTTGGTTAAAATGCCTCGGGTCGGCATTGTCATGTGCTTGTCGGTCAGTTTGCTCGTGTATCGGATACGCGCCAAATAATTGACACTCGACGATATGTATGTGCAGAGACAACCACGGTGAAGCCACTTTATTTTCGTTGCTATGGGCGCCATCCGCAGTAAATAGACATTGATTTTTGGCGGGGGGGATGGTGATGAACCATCCCCGACTAAGGTCTGAAAATTTTATTACATACATACCCGGACATGTAAATGGTCGATTCATTTCTTTTTTTTATACTGTATTTGGCCGGGTTTCAACTCATTCTCCGTTTTTCACTAAGGAATTTCTAAAGCAAAACTCGGGGATGGTCCTGAAACATCCCCGCTTTTGAAAAGTTGTCAGATTGATCTGAGAATTTCAGGTCAGGGTAATTTCGGGGTGGGGATTACGAATCCGTGGTCGATTTTGTTCAATTCCAATTTGTTCTTGAGTTACAGGTACTTATTAAACATCATCGCCTCCTAAAAGAGGCAATCAAAAATATTTCAAGAATTTTCACACACCCTCTCCCTCCCACACACCCCTAAGTTCGATCTCAAACGGGATTTGAACCCCACCACTGCTCCACGAGCAAAAACAAGAAACACGCCACGTATATACCAGCCCACCTCCCGAAACGGGCAAAAATACTGGGCTCTTCCTTACTGCCAAGCTCTTCCCAAATCTTTGCCGCAGCAGCAGAGTCGCATTCCTGCCACTGCGTCCAAGTAATTATCTTCCTCTTGCATTCCTTCTTGTATCGCGGGAACTTGATCCCCTCGGAGTTTTCTTCGTCTACGGGCGCTACTCCAGTGTCCATGGTCACCCTTTCCTTTACTCCGCCCTTCTGCATTGCGAGTGGATCTTGCACGCGCACTGCTCCATTGCAGGGAGGACCAGGCACTTGCACCGCGTCGAGAGGAAAAGCGTGCGGCCAGGGTCAGCGAAGTCTTCGCTCTGTCGCTCCTTGAAGCTCTTGTAGGACGCCCAGTTGAGAAACTTGGCGTACACCGCGTCGCCCCCGCCCGGTTCGGCGAGCTGCCGCCGAGGGTGGCGGTGAGCTGTAGGAGACTTGCTCGCCTTCCACATGTCGCGCTCAGCTGAGTTGCAATGCTGGCGTGACACCTCATCCGTGTGCCGGTACTGCCTCATCAACTCCAGCAGCTCTTCGCTGGCGGCATCGCTCCGCTTAGCTCGGGGCCAAAACCAGTAGACACCTCGCTTTATCACCTCGGTTGGATGGAGATCGGACAGCAATTTCTTGGCACGCTCCGCCGCGAAGGTGAAGGCGCGCTCTTGAACCCCCAATACCGCTGCCCTACGCCTTGCCGATATCGATGGAGCCCCGTCTACGTCCACGGGAAAGGCCGCGGCGGTGAGGATCGTTTGCAACGTGTGGCGTCCCTCTATGGTTCTACGTTGCATTTGCGCCTGCTCGATGACTCGCTCCAACGAGACTGCTGTGCTGGCCTTGGCTTCCAGCTCCCGCAAGCGAACAAGGGTGTCCTTCGCAAACGTCGAGCCGATTTTTTCCAAGTGAAGCAGCGCGTTTTCATACCCCATGCTGTCCATGGACGCGAGAAACGTTTCCGTAGCATGCTGGCGCCAGTTGACCGGCGCCGTCTGTGTGCACACATGACGAACGAGAACGAGGAGGGGAGTGCGAAGTAGCGCAACACAGTTAGACATAAGAACAAGACACGACTGGTAGGGACCATCACACGCACGGACGGGCGCTCGGTGTACAACTACGCGACAGACTATTCATGCAATCCGATCCTCTCGGTGGAATTATAACCCGGCGCAATCATTTCGTGTCTCGGCACAATTACTGCGTCACACATCAACGATTCTGAAGGTGTGTTCTTGGAGATGAATTGTTGCCTTCCTCGTGTCTCACCTCTTGCTCAGCTGGCTCGCTAGTCTGCACCCTAGACCGGGTTCTCCCGCCACCCCGCAAAGCCGTGATAACAGGGTCGGCGACGGCGCTATCTGCTGTCCTCCTAACGCCGCTGCTGCGGCTGCTGCCACCAGACCGCTGCTGCGCCTTTTGCCACTGCTCGCGCTTGTGCTTGAGGACCTTGTCAGTCAGCTCCGCGGCCTTTTGCTGACCGCTTCTTCGGTGTTCTCCTTCACGTAGCTACTGTGGGTTTGTGAGGGCCTCTTCTTGTGCTTCGGGTCAACGAGTGTCGAGGTCACCAGCACCCCGCGTTCGGAGACATACCTCCAACTGAGCTTGACGACGTGCTTGTTGTCGAGGAAAACTGTTACAACGTAGTCAGGCACAGTTTTCCATAGG